CATTATTTATAACTATTTCTTATGCCCTATGAAATAGTGGTGTCCATTTCCCTCTATCTCCATGCGTTGCCCTTCGTAATATTAACTACTTTGGCAATTTCCTAGGGGAAGCCTTTGAGTTCTATCTTGGCAAATAGGAGATCACTTGGCCTTTGCTTGAGCACCGACAGGTAGGGAGGTCTTGCTAAACATCGTGCCACTCTAAATAACAAGAGCAGTTTTACACTAGACAATGACCATCAACTAAAATGATCATAAGCAAACACTGAACATCATACACAACTTGACAATATCAATTTAGTGATGAATGTACTTGTGCCTGCATTTATAAGACAGTATAAAGAACACAAATACAGATTCAAGGAGGCTTCAAACCTACCCAGTATATATCAAGAAATTTTCCATGCTTACAATACTTGATAATTTGAGCAACATGGGAAAAATCATAGTTTTAAACCTCCATTATTGTGTAAGAAAGAGCTCCAGTAAAAATCACAACATAGAAAACCTTTTGCTATGCATACTGAGGTGAAAACAATATTTCCCAGAGGGGGTTGGGGGGCAGAGCCCTCCATCAACCCTCCCTTCTGGCACTGTCAAGAGGACATGCCCGGCCACAGCAACCTAGACTGTTAAAAAGATATTGTGATGTGGAGTTAAAAAAAAAAAAAAAAACAGGTACAGCTACTGTAGCCTCATATTTACTGCAAAATAACAAAAATATCCACTACATATCACTGCCCACAACACCCTCACGCAGCCAGACTTCTTAATGTCATGTTTTCAATACAAAATTTTCGTGGCAGTTGGCACAGTGCTAATAAAGGGGGGGTACAGGGGGTCTTCTAGGGAATAAATATCAGGGTAAAAAGGGCAAGGTTTGGATTTTTTTGGTTCACATGACACTCTGGTTTAGGATACATCACTCTAGGCAACGAATAGTCTACGACAAATATCAAAACTCATAAGTTCTGTATTTAATGCTAACTTTGGAACTTGTTGCCTCCTAAAACTCACAAGCCATACTTATAATTAGAAGAAAAACAGATCATATAACATCTACTGAATATTCATTCCTTTTCAGAAACAATAATAAATGGCCTATTCCTTTAGCTGCCACTTCTCTGCACTCATGCCTATTACATCATGCTAAGAACCCGAGTTAATACAAAGAATAAGAATACAAAGAATACAAAACGATATATAAACTTCCAAAAGCAAAATTTCCTATGTTATTCCCTTTCACCTCACTCAAAATACAAATTCAAATCCACATAAATATTAAAATTTAAAAAAAATAAAAAAATCTCTATTCCCCATAGAAACAATTCTCGGCATTTCCGCCGCCTCAGCCTCCCCTCGAAGTGACGCAAAGAGGGAGAGAAAAACCGAGTCCTTGATTCACCAGGTAACAATTAGTCCTTCCTCGCCCTCAAGGAGCAGTTTTACTGTATACAATGTCCATGAACTAATATGATCATTTGATAATTTGAGCAACATGGGAAAAATCGTAGTTTTAAACCTCCATTAATGTGCAAGAAAGAGCTCCAGTAAAAACCACCGCATAGAGCACTGAGCTTGGGCTGGTTCAATGGATGATATTATGAAAGGGAAACCTAAAACCGATACTGATAGGGTTTATGATCATAATGATCCATCTTCTGGTTAATCTTAACAGAAGGGACCCACTAAGCTGGGGCAAATAGAGGGTGATGTTCTGCGAAGCCAAAGCCCGATCCTCACCGTAGATGACAGCCAGGCCGGTCTCGTGCAAATACCTCGCCCTTCGGTATTTGAAGATCCATATCGTCACCACCGTTAGGATCAGTAAGAAGGTGTACAGGAGGATATTCAAGCTGTCGATCCTATGCGTGTTCTGGTACTTCTCGTCTATTTCGAGATCCGTCCCCGTCGAGGGCTTGCCATTGACACTGGGGAGGAGGGTCGAGGAGGAGAGGGCGAGGAGGAGCGGGCCTTCCCGTCCGACTCCTGCCATGGTGTGTTTACAACTGGGATCAATAAACCCCGAGGAACTGCGGCCCGGGACGGAAGACAAAAGAGCATCGGTACTGGTCGTCCGGCACCCTTTTATGAGGATTATTTTACCAACTACGTGTTATTTTGGAATTCGATTCTCCTTCTGACACTTAGCTTAGATTCCGACAGTTAATAAATTCGGAGGAACTCCGAACCGAAGGAGAAAAATAAATGAGCGTCGGTCTTGACTCCTTCTTCTAAGAATCAAATGCTCTCACGTTTCAGACAATTTACGCGAGGTCCATGAATCATATCCTTCCTACTTATCATCCGCGTGTTCGCTTTTACGTAAACTGCCCCATTAGACTGAAAATAAAGTCTGTCAATCACAGAAATATGAGAGCACGACCCAAACCGTCCGCGCCAAAGGGATCGGGAAGCGCATTGCACTCCACCTAATCAGTGGTTATAAGTGTCGCAATTACGATGAGACTGTAATCGTCACGGGATCCAAAAGTTGGCT